TACGCAGCTTCACCTCGGTCGTGTCGGCGATCATCTTCACCGAGTCCCGATAGTTGCACTTGTCGCACGCCTGGGCCACCAGGGTCTGGAATCGCGAGCGTATCTTGCGGGCCGACAGGTAGCCGGACGCGGTGATGAACTCCACCCAGAGCGACATCGACCGCTTGCGGCCGTCGCTGAGCTTCAGCACCGCGCAGCCCGGCAGGGTGCCGTCGTCCACGAAATTGAACACTCCCATCTGATTCAGGTAGAGGACCACCTCGAATTCACCCGGCGAGATCACCTCCAGCCCCTCGTAACGGCCGTTGCACTCGGTCAGCGACGAGATGAACCGCGGCTCCTGCACCTCGACCTCCTTCAGCACGTCCTGCACGACCTTGCACACTTCCCGTATCGTCTTTTGCACCTGGGCCATCCGCACCTGCACCCGCTCGGTATAGTACTTGTTCATTTGGTACAGCATCTTCGAAGTGCCGCCCATGATGTCCTGCGGCACCAACATCATGACGAGACCGTCCGCTTGCGGCGATTCTCACGTACGTTCCTCGGCCAGAATCTCATTCTTCCGCGCGTCCGCACCGTCAACCTGTCATCCCGTTACCGTCATTGTCGTCATCGTGCGTCGTTTTCCCAAGCATCACGGGAAGGGAAGTGTCCAACGTGACCCTGCTATACGTCGATCCTGTCTACGATTTTCAATACGGGAGAGGAAGAGAGAAAGAGAGAGAGATAGAGATAGAGAGAGAGAGAGGGAGAGCACCGTTGAGTAAACTCGCGATCTCAAAAAGAGCTCGCGCCGGAACGGGTCACGGATGAACGAATGCCGTGCGTGCCTAATCGTGCGGCAGGTGTTGTACGTGCAACGAGCGCAACTCGAGGTGTCTCGCGCGCGCGACGACAGAGAGAACGTTGCTGACCACCGGCTCGTCTACTGCCGTTGTAGTTGTATGCCCTGTTCCCCAAGTCCCGCCTCCGAAGCGACAGGGTCACGTGGAGCGTGCGCGTTGTTACCACGCCTCCTGTCGTTCCCGGCTCCCTCCACCACCGTGTCGTTCCTTCCGCCGCTCTCGCCGCGCCGCATCGCTATCGATAGGCAGTGATAAGCCGGTGCGGTTGCGGAACCGCGCTTCATCATTACCGATATTTTCCACTCCCAAATACATTCGTAATCCAGTTAGCAGCGCGCAACTCCGCACGCGCGTCCTCGCGAAACTCGCGTACATCGCGATGGGAAAGGTGTAATTTGATTTTCCGTCGCCCATGGTGAACATCTCGGCTGCGGGTAGAAAAGGACTCCTGGAACGTTTCCGTTCGGTCAATTGTTCGGAATTATCCGAATCAACTTTCGCCGAAGCAACTTTCAACGTGGCCGAACGTACAGATGAATATTTTCGCTCGCGGAAACAGAGGTAGCGGTCTTTCTCGTCGGTCGAGCTTTCGTCCGATGCCTGTTCATAAATATACAAACTGAGGTTTTTTACCGTGCAAGAACTTTTTATGTGGAATCTAAGCGTAAAACATGTAAAACTCGTTTGTGCTTTCTCTACCTTGGATCGTCGGACGAAAATTCTATCTTACTTCGACGTAAAAACAGAGCTGTGCGAAAAAATAGATTGAGAAAAATGATGTATCAGCAGCATCAGTCTAATCGTAACGAATTCTCTCGATTTAATAACTGTATTGCATTGCTATGAAATAAATATGCCATACTATTATTTTAATAACTCGCGTGTTTGCTTAAATAATACAGTAGTTGGAAAAAAACTTTAATCAATCCTGCATCTACCTTCTTCAATTATGTAGTTGCTTATTTTGATCGTATATGTGCAATTATTAATCTTTTAATGCATAATTGAATACATGTACAATAGTTTGTTAACCAAATCTACTGTCATATCACGAAATAATTGACAAAACTCAATAATAGAATTAATTATTTCAGGTTTAGTAAGAATGCATAATTTTGTTGATTCACATACATAATTACATATATATATAATTTATTTCATCTGCAATATTGCTAAGAATTAATTATTTTTGTGAAATCATATATATATTGGTGCAAATGAAATGGCTGTTTATAAATATAAAGTTCCAACTTGTATTTTTCAAATTTAAAACTTACATAACTAATCAAAATAACTTCCACCTACTTCAATACTTCTGCCAATGTGATCCAAGTGCATCAATGCACTTTCTAAAAGAATCTAGAGAGCGTGAATCGATAAACTCCTTAAATTCATTTTTCACAATTTTTTCTTCATTGAAATTTTTGCCCGCCAAAAACGCATCCAGATGTTTGAAAAGATGATAATCTGTTGGTGAGGTGTCTAGAGAATAGGGAGAGTGAAGGAGAACTTCGATGTTCACTCGGCGAATTTTTGAACGGTTTGTTTTGCAATGTGTGGTCTAGCGTTATCGTACAACAACAACATGCCGTGTCTGTTGTCTAATACTGGCTGTTGAGCGCACAGTTTTTGGTGCATGGTGGCAATTTTCTGACAATACTTATCAGAATTCATAACCTCACCTTGTTTGGTAAATGAATAGTGAACGATACCTCTGCTAGACCAGCATACATACACCATCATTTTCTTGGGGTGAAGATTCGATTTTGGAACGTATCTTGAAGTGTCATTCGTATCTAACCACTGCGCAGAACGTCGGTGATTATCCTACAAAATCCATTTTTCATCACAAGTCACAATCCTGTGTAAAATTCCATCTGTATTCTGTCGCAACCGCAAAGAAATGCAGATCTCCAAACGTCTCAATTTGTCTCTCTCTATGATTTCATGGAAGACCCACTTATCCAACTTTTTCACTTTTCCCAACTTGTTTAAATATCGGACGGCAGTTGAATGATCAACTTCGAATCTTTTGACAATCTTTCAGACTGTTAACCTTGGATCTGTTTCAACCATCCCCTTCAAAACAACGTCATCAATGACGGAAGGTGCGTGTCCGCGAGACAAATTGTCGAGGTTTGTGTCCCCAGAACGAAATTTTTCAAATCAACGCCTCGTCGTTCTTTCACTTACAGTACCTTTACCAAATGCAGTATGAATGTTACGCGTTGCCTCGGCTGCAGTATGACCAAGTTTGAACTCGTATAAGTAAATTATACGAATTTCTCTATTTTCCATCACGGCGTTAATGCAAACTTCTATGACTAACAGTACAATATAGAAATAAGGTTATGTGCGCTAAATCACATGTGGATTATGTACTTTTCACACAGTATATATACACCGTCCTCTGTATGAAAGAAAAGTAATCTATAGGGGTGGGAAATTCAAAACACTGAAAACGGTCATTTCATTTGCACCAACCTAATATTTACTTTTTAAGCAATTAGAAATGCTATTATTTTGATTGTACATTTTTGTTTTATTTAATCGACATATAGTCATCAATAATTTTAACATCGATTCTTGTAATTAACGTTAAACTTTTCAGTTTCATTTGTTACTAATATATAGTTAAAAAAATGCAACCACGTACAGATATAAATTAACTATATATAAGTCGCATGAGCTTTAAGTAGAATTATTGGTGCATGAATCACAAGATAGCACAAAATATTGACATAACTTGGCATCGCAATTCGTTCTTCGATGTTAAGCACATTCGTGAACTACACTGGACAAAAATTTGGAAATAAAAAATTTGGTAATAAATACTAAAATTTGGTGAATATTTATTGACGAAATATTTAACTACTGCAGTCTAATAATTTAGTTCCGTACACTTCCGTACAGTTTTGTATGAATATACAATATATGGATTATAGAGAGAGAGAGAGAGAGAGAGAATATATATACTGTATATATAATATACAGAACTAAATTATTTGATTGCAGTAATCAAATATTTCTTCGGAAAATATTCACCGAACTTTAATACTTATTACCAAATTCTTTTTTCAATGCAGGCTAAATAATAATCTGCATAGATGATCGGAGTTTTATAAAACTGCTAAGTAAATGAGCCTACATATAGGATGTTTCAAAAATAGATGTCCGGACTTTAGGAGTATATGTTATAATACATTGAAGAAGAATGCTGCTGAATGAGAAAAAAAATAGTTTGGTTTAATAAAACATCGATTATTGGCTGCCATAAATATATAAGCTATAAAAATGCTGTGATTGAATGAAAACAACGGTGTGATTCGATTAAACGTCGACCTTACAGCTATAAATATACCAAATTAATTCAACTTTGTGATTATTATTTTTTTTTATTTTATTTTTTAACACAAGAACAATATATTGTCTTTAAAGCAGTAACATGGTAGTATCGTATAAACACTTCGAATTGTGTAAATTGTCATAAGCGTTCTTACAATTCAGTTTGTTTGTAACACGACACGATATGTTATTGTTTCAAAGACAGCGTATTATTATTCTTTCGAAGAAATATTACGATTCAAAGACAAATGCAGTTGAATTACCTGCTTATATCCATGGCAGCCCGTAATATCGACATTTCATTCAACCAACATATTTCTTTACTTTCAACGACATATCTTTTCCATGTAACGGTCGCACAAAAGCGACAATAAAACAATCAGACTTTCCCAAAAGTGCAGGAGCACTTTTTAGTAGATTTACGATTTTCATTTTTTGACCATTGTCCAAGTCGGTAGTCGGTCCATAACAATAGCTGGAACTTACTCCGCAAATGGACGAGCAGTTCGCGCGATGTTACAGCATGATAATTCCGGGCACGACCAAGCAAGGCGATAACATTCACATCCGCGCACAAAAAAGCTGAAGGGATCATTTGAATATTGGTTATTGACGTGAAAAGTATAAAGTACGACGAAGTCTTTTGTTCACGATCGCGCACGCGAATACAGCTTTGATCCTCGACGAAACGCACGCACGCACGTAACACGCATGCACGAGCGGAGGCAGGTGTACACGCCGGAAAATATCTCACAAACACGAGATACCGCGTCCCAGGACCTACCTTTTATGTTAGGATCGTAAAAACTCACGCCACAAATATCCACCGAAGAATACCGATCGGCTCTGGATACGTCAAATGTCCCAGGCGCAAGATTTTACCGATTACAGTATTCGTATCTCCGAGAATCATCGTTCCCGCGCGTTCTTTTCAACTCTTTGCGAGTGAATAGGAAACAGAAGTTCCCAACCGTTTTCCCTCCCGAATGCGCGTTTAGCAATAATCAGAGCACGTTGCGTCGCAACTATTGGAACAGGCTTGCCGCACTGAGGAAAAAGTATTTATCACGCTGTATAATCGCGCATGATGAAAAAATTATTGTCGAAAGAACTATTTTCTTAGTAAATATTACTATCGTGCTAATGATGATAAAAATAAATTCATGCTGTTACTTATACTTTTTTATTAGAACAACATGACTATACAGTCGGTGTCGAAATGATTATAATTTTAATAGGATTCGTTATTTTTCTTTCTCTCATTGTGAACGCTCTTATCGCACAAATCGAAATTCTGGCTTTATGTTAAACCTTAGATTGTATAACATAATAAGAGCTAAAGGTTCAATTTCAATTTTATTAGGTGTACAAATTAATTCCTTGCTTTCTTTCGCCGATCTTGATAAACATTTTTAATGAGAATACTTGCCGGTCTTTTCGTAGCTTTTAAGTGCTGACATCTACGTTTTCAAAACACTATATGAATTAATGAAGCGGGCAACATAACCTCTAAAAACAGTTATACACGATGGCCTCTGGTAAAGATCATATTCGGCATTGCATTCTTTTTGCGTTTCAGCTAAAATAGAACGCCGCTAAAGCCGCTGAAGTGACTTGTGTTCTTGGTGAAGGTAGTGACTCATACGACTTGTAAAA